TTTAAAAAGTGTTATATAGGTCACTTGGTCTATCTGCCATTTTTTCAACAACACATTCAGCCCATAACATTATAACAGGACAATGCACCGACACATCGTGCACTCCACTTAGAATTAAATTCTGAAAAATCAAGTACAACGTCCCTGCAATGTACCTACGGCACGCCAAATTGAGCACCTGTGGGAAAGGATTAACTGTGTTGCTCGTGATTTGAATCCCGGTCCCAGAACCATTTTACAGCTACAGCCAGCCCTCACCAATGCCTGGAAAAACATTTTGCAGGAAGACTTGAGTACTCAATGTGCAGGAAATGCACGGATGGGTTAAATGCACATGTAGATCACACGGTGAACTGATGTGTGACTTTTGGACTTTACCCATAACATAAAATTTCAGTCATTAAAGATACGTTTCTGCTGAAAAATAATCCTTTCACCCTGATTCATATGTGGAATACTTCATATTATTTAAATTTCATGTTTTAACGAAGCATTGTTTTTCTACAAGAAAGGCGAAACGATCGATCATAGATGGTGGTATTTTTCTTTTGATCGCCAAAATACCATGCACTATGTGGTAAAATCAGAGAGCGTAACTATTAAGTAACACACCAGCCGCAGAGAAACAGAACAGAGGCAGGGTGGACTACACAAACACTGACAATACTTTTTGAGAGAGAGAGAGAGAGAGAGAGAGAGAGAGAGAGAGAGAGAAAGGGGGAGGAGACAAGTTACCCAAGCGATCTCTAATACCCTTCGTTTTTAGCGTCTAAAACATACTGGCAGTTTATTAAAACTAAAACCAAAGTTTTGTAATCGAATTGTTCTTACTTGACCTAGATAATTATTATTACAAGCTAAAACAACAGCACGCTTGTATTTCCTAGTCATATGAAACTCCAATTTCACACAGTTTGCATTTTCCATATCATGTTGAAGAAGTCATGGTCACCAGCCAGCAATGCCTTTCATAAGATGTATAGCACGCACGCCCAAACGTAGAATCAGATGGGCTTTCACCACCTTTCACAAAAATGTGATGTCGTCAAGAGTAACTTTAAAGGGACTTTAAAAAAACATGATCTGCATACAACACTAACCAAAGTACCAGCTTGTTCTAAGACCGATGCTTTGGACACACTTCCAGCCTGGTAAAGAAAGGATACGGTGATATTATGTTTTATTTCACGGTTTGAATTCAATGTTGGTCTTTTGATTAAGTTTGTTCCTTTAATTGTTTGTTTGTTTGTTTGTTTTTTCTGACAACCGTCTAATTAAGGTTGAGGAGAGTTGAATAAAGTAAGTCGGTTCAAATTAATTGTAAATGATCTCTCTCTCTCTCTCTCTCTCTCTCTCTCTCTCTCTCTCTCTCTCTCTCTCTCTCTCTCTCGACACACACTCACTCCGTTTGAGTGAATGAACCAGTAAGCCGATGGGCAACATGTCGACGGATCCAGGGGACACAACTCTACTCAATTCCCCCTCAAGGGGAACAACTGATCGCTGATCCAAGTTGATCGTTCCTGCTGATTATACCAGAAGCGCCCACAGCGCACGAATCCCAACACGACGACTGTACCACGAAAACTGGGAACCCGAGAACACTGGGTGATTGTTGTTGCTTTCTTTCAATTCTTTCTTTCCTCCTGTCTTTCTTTCTTTCTGGTGTCTTTTCTTCTAAGTTGTCTTTTTGTGGTATTCATTGTGTGTGTGTGTACTGTGTGCGTGTGTTTGTTTTTAGGTTAATGTTTTGGGTTTCTTTTTAAATTTTCAGCTCTCACCTTAAGATTGTGTGTGTGTGTGTGTGTGTTTGTGTGTGTGTGTGTTTGTGTGTGTGT